CTGTTCACCCCGCATGCCACAGTCTCTTTCCCCACTGGCTTTGGCACTTTTAGCTGCCTCCACCTGGAGTATCTGTCTGCCGCGCTCCACCTTTTCCCTGATAAACTCCCATCTTCCCTCAGACTTTGGGCTTTTGACCTCACTTGCTCAGGGCAACCTCTGCTGGTCTCCACTGTGAGGTTGTTTGCTTCTCCTCTGTTCTCCTGCGGTCCATCTTAGGGCCCTGTCACAGCCTTGGCTACTTTTTTTGATTGTGTCATTTTTCTCTTTACTCTAAAATAACATGCTGGAGAGTAGCAACTGTCTTTCTCATTCAAGAGTATGTCCCCGGAGCTTGGCACAGTGCCTGGCATGCAGTAGGCTTATAGTACATATGTTACGGGTGGAATTGTGTCCCCCCAATACATTTATATGTTGGAATCCCAATGCCCAGCACCTCAGAATGTGGCCTGATTTGGAAATATGGGTGTTGCAGATAGAGCTAGTTAAGATGAGGTCATTCTGGTTAGGGTTGGCCCTGATTGAATATGACTGGTGTTTATAAGAACGCCATGTGAAAATAAAGACACATGCACAGAGGGAAGGTGATGTGAAGATATCCTGGGAGGAGACAGCTGTGCTAGGCTGTTGTGCATTGCTATGAAGGAATACCTGAAGCTGGGCAATTTATAAAGAAAAGAGATTTAATTGGCTCATGGTTTTGCAGGCTATACAGGAAACAGCACTAGCATCTGCTCAGCTTCTGAGGAGGCCTCAGGAAGCTTCCAATCGTGGCAGAAGGTGACATGGGAGCAGGCATCTCACTTGGCAAAAGCAGGATCAAGGAGGTGAGAAATGCCATACAATTTTAACCAGATCTCTTGAGACTTTACTCACTGTGGTGAGAACAGCACCAAACCACGAGGAGTCCACTCCACCCACCCCAAGCAGCTCCCATCGGCCCACCTCCAAGGCTGGGGATTACATTTCAATGTTAGATTTGGGTGGGGACAAATATCCAAACTATATCCATAGCCATCTACAAGCCAAGGAGAGAGTACTGGAATGGATCTTTCTCTCACAGTCCTCAGAAGAAACTATCCCTGCTGAGACCTTGATGTTGGACTGCTAGCCTCTAGAACTATGAAGCAAATTTATATTGTTTAAGCCATCCAATATATGGAACTTTGTTATGGCAGCCCTAGCAAACTAATATTACATGTCTCTTCAAAGACTGGATTTCCGACTCTTTTAAATGTGCTCCTATAAGCAAAGACTTAGCACAAGCACAAATATACCCCAAACAGCTCCATATTCCACAAATAGATGGACCCGCAAGAATGGCAAGCACAGGTGGCTCTTAGTCATTGCGGCCAGCAGCCAGTTTTAGCTTCCAAAGACCCCCTCTCCCGGGGTATTCCAGGAAGTTCACCCGAGTGGGCGGGGGAGGCGCCCTCTCAGCGAGACCCCACAGCAGGGGGAATGTGAGCTGGTGGGCCAGCAGGTGCTCATGTTGCCCTCCCAGCCAGAGGAAGCAACTGAGAAAAAGCCAGAAGGGATGGGAGTTTGATGGAGCAAAGATCAAGGAGGAAGAGAAATGGAAGCAGGAAAGTGGAGCCAGTGTGTGTTCATTTGGCCTCCAGAACCACACCACAGGATGTCAGGGCAGGCTGTACAGAAGCCAAGAGGTCAGGGGGGAATTTCCACCCTTCTTTCAAAAAGTTCTCCTCCTCCATTTGATTGCGGCCTCTAATAAGCAATTCTTCCAAATTTCTTCTGACTTCAGAAGTTCAGAGTACGTTGAGCCGAAGAAACACCAGGATCATAATTATGGTTATTATAGGGAGCTGTGTGCCCATCACCACAGCATCTGGCTGTAATCACATACTTAATGGAAGGCGAGATGATCTCTTGCTCATAATGGGCAGTTTCTGAGCCAGGCAGCCACCACGCGCCCACCCTCCCACTAGGAGGCCCAACAGAACAGATGTTTGTAGAAAGAAGAGATGCTTATGTCTGTCTGGAGGGCCAGTGACTTCACAAACAGTGTCGGGGAAAGCAAGTCCCGTAACTGGGTCATGGTGCGTGTATGGCTCTGACCAGCCAGTAAGGTTGAGAAGCGGGCTTTCCCTCCACTCTGGGTGGCAGGGAAGGGGTGGAGTGGGGCAGATCTCATTATCCCTTCACAGATGGTGAAGTGGGAAGCTGTGGCTGTGGGGCATGAACCAACATTTATTTCCATTAACACCAAGTACCTGGCCTCATTCTCTAGCAACTGAGATGCCCAATGCACTGAAAGGGCATAGTGAAAATCCCTCTAGCCAAACAATTCCTTTGAATGTAGTTAGCTTAGTCTGCTCAAGCTGCTATAACAAAATACCATAGACTGGGTGGTTTAAGGAGCAGAAATGGATTTATCACAATTCTGTAGGCTGAGGAGTCCAAGGTCAATGTGCCAGCAGATGCGGTGAGGACCCCTTTCCTGTCTTGCAGATGACCACCTGCAGCGTCTTCGGCCGTGTTTTCACATGGCAGAGAGAGGAGGCTCTGGTGTCCCTTCCTTTTATAGGAGCACTCATGTCATCATGGGGGCTCCACTTTTTCTTAACCATTCTAACCTAATCACTCCCACAGGCCCCAACCTCCTAATATCATCATGCTGGGGATTACGGTTTTGACAGATGAATTTTATTGGGATGCAAATGTTCGATGCAGAATAATTAAACTTGTTCTGTTCTGTTCTGTATATTGTGTGTGGGTATGTGAGCGTGCCCATGCCATCAACTTTTTTTGGACCTCAGGTTGAAGAGCTGAGAAACCTAGTGCCTGAGCAGGCTTCATTCCCTACCAACAGGGCCTCTGACGCCCTCAGCCCTCACTCTGTCTGAACCTACAGACCACAGTGTTTACCTTGTGCCCTGCACTTGCTGCACGAGGTCTTAACTACAGTAGAGTCTTAGCTCATTCATCCGTGAAGCCCTTTAGATTGGCACTATTAGAAACCCTGAAGCCATGTGATTCCACTGTGCCACATATTCCCAGTACTTTAGTCAACATCCTTAAACATAAAACACTAGAGTCAGCTACCTTCCCTTGGATGACCATGCCACGGTCTCTATACTTCTCCCTTATTCCCATCTGCTGCTGCTGCTTGCCTTCTGTGGTTCCAATGAAAATAAACTTCCTTATTTCCTTGAGCAGTTTTATATCCAAAAATCTCCTGTGTGTCCCCAGAGGCATCTCAAACTCAACATGGTCAACAGTTAATTTTTTTTAAATAAAATCTCTTTTAATAAGAATTTATTATTGCACATTAAAAAAAATTGTAATTTTCAGGACATGTAAGAAAAATGTTTTTCTAATAATGAAATAAGCATATCTTTGATACAGAAATCACACTATTGTGATCCTTAACTGAAAACATTAGTCAAGAGCTATGACCTCATATGCTGACCAGAACTATTTGCCCATCCATCTGTCCTTTTTCATAACCCTATTGTGGGGACTTAAGATATAGTTCTGTACACATCTCCATATCTACAAAGAATTAAGATGCTATATCAAAAATATCCAGAAGTTATATATGGTAAAGAACTAGTTGGCTTAATTGTTGACACATAACACAGACCACTAAAAAGCAACCTAAGATATAGGACAAGAAAAATAGAACACCATCACTAAGGTCAGATAATGGAAAAACAATCACATCATTTAAATTTGATGCATTGGAAACAAAGTCACTTCTTCAGAATTATTACATAAATAACTTGCAAATCTCCAAAGGTAATAGCACAGAGCCATGAATTTGATAAGGCACTTTAAAGACAGGAATCAAACATGTAAAAATATCAAATATAAAAATGTTAAAAGCAGTAACCATAGAAATAAACAGGGGAAATATGTATTAATATGTATTAATCTGTTCTTGTATTACTATGAAGAAATAGCTGAGACTGGGTAATTTATAAAGAACAGAGGTTTCGTTGGCCCAGGTTTCTGCAGGCTGTACAGGAAGCATAATGCTGCTTGGCTTTGGTAGGGGGCCTCAGGAAACTTTCAATCATGGCGGAAAGCAAATGGGAAGCAGGCCTCTTCACAGGACCAGAGGAGAAGGAAGAGAGAGACAGGGGAGGTGCCGCACACTTAAAACACACCACACTTAAAACACACCACAACCAGATCTGGTGAGAACTCACTCACTATATAGTACCATGGGGAAATGGTGCTAACCCATTCATGAAAATTCCACCCCCATGATCCAATCACCTCCTACCTGGCCCCACTTCCAACAATGAGGGTTACAATTGAACATGAGATTTGGGTGGGGACACAGATTCAAACCATATCAAATATGCATTCCTTCCAGACAGTCTTTTATTTTCTGAAGTAAAGGCTTTAAAAAAAAATGTATAAGGGCAAAAAATATTTATCTTATATTTTTTAAAGCTACTATCAAGATTCAAGTCTCCATAAAAAAGAGAGTGTTTTCCTTCAAGGCAATGGAGTTCTGATTTATGCATTTTTTAGAGAAATAATTATAGACTTTGTGCTAAATATAGAAAGAAAAATTAGGTATTCATTATGTTTGTCAACTCTTTTCCTCAACAAACATTGAGTGAGTGTTTTGTGACACTGTTTTAGGTGCTGAGGATAGGGAAGTAAGTAAGACACAATCACTGGTTCTAGAGAATTTAGCCTAATGGAGGTGGATCTGCTGTTGGCAATCTTACAGTTACCTCCCTTGGTCCATAAGATTAAGCTCTGCCTCAAACTCTGTCATGCTGGACATCTTTTTGCACAACAAATTGTTACTTGTAGCACTGTGGCACTATTAATATTAACTATCTACTGATTAAATTTACTATCAGAAAAGATTCTATGAAAATTTAGAGGTCAGAATGTATTTAAGGTTAAATAAGTACTGGTCAGCATCAAAAATAGCATCAGAATTCTGCTTTCTCAAAAGTCAAGAAAAGCAAGAAAAAAAATTCATTCTGAGTATATACAAAACTGCTGGAAAGAGAGCATCCTATACTTGAGGTACATGTGCCAATATCATATATGAGGAAGTATGAATTATTGGACAGTCTTTATGAAACAACTAAGCACGCCAAATCAGCTGTCAGGTTTTGAAGAAGAATCATAGCCCTCTTTCAAGAGATCCCACCACGTTTTCAGGAAACGTGCATTTTCTGTACATTTGAAGGCAAGCTCTTCCACTTGAACTGAAACTGCAAATGTGGCTTCAAGAAGTTTCGTTCACAGTGCTGTTCTCAATAGCAAAGACATGGAATCAATCTAGATGCCCATCAATGGTGGACTGGTTAAAAAAATATGGTACATATGTACCATGGAATACTATGCAGCCATGACAAAAAATGAGATCATGGCCTTTGCATCAACATGGATGCCGCTGGCCACCATTATCCTAAGTCTATTATCTTACGTGGATTAAAGCAGAAACAGAAAACCACACATCAGATGTTCTCACTTAGAAGTGAGAACTGAACATAGAGTACCCATGGACACAAAGAAGGGAATAGTATATGACACTGGGGCCTCTTTAAGGGTGAAGGTGGGTGGGAGGAGAGTGAGGACTGAAAAACTATCTATCAGGTATTATTCTAATTACCTGGATGACAAAATTCTCTTGGTGACACCAAACCCCTTCAACATGCAATTTATTAAACAAACCTGATCACGTACACCTTGAACCTAAAATAAAAGTTGAAAGGAAAAAAGTGTAGTTAATGAAAAGACATCTCCAATCTGCCGCTCGAGTTCCTCCAGTGGATCCACCATCTGGCTTCTGTCCCTGCTCAGAACTGGCCAGCCCAAACTCACAGGAACGCTCAGGAAAGATGCCGAAGAGAAGTCTGAAGATGAGGGAGCAAAGGGAGGCAGCAGGGGTGGTGAAGAAACCTGCAACTCCTCAGGGTCAGCCATGGGAAAGGGCTAGAGTGGCAGAGTCCGACCAGAGCAGCCAAACCGACACCAACTGTCTTTCAACTACTTGCCAGAAGTGAACTTTTAATATCCCTTTGCCAACCCTACCACCTGTGAAACTATGTCTCTGCCATTGGCTAGTTCAGTTGGTAACACCACCACCTACTTACCTACTTATCCTCCTCCCTCACACAACATCCTACCTACCTATCAAGTCCTGCAGGGTTTACTCTCAAAATACTGTCTATGTTGAAATATAAGGGAACCTGGCACTCAGAGTAGAGCCTTGTGGTCGGTTTGTTTTTTTCCAATTAGAAGATCCTCTCCATAAATCTCAACATTTTTTGAGGGGAGCTAATTTGATAGTCAAACGTCTACCTAGCTATATTTAAATGATTAATTTAGCTATACATGCATACTTAAAATAACATAAAACATAAAGTACTAATTTAGAATTTAATATCATCACTCACATTTCATCAAACTATTCCATTTAAATTCTTCATGTGCAAATTTGACAGCAGGGGGCCTTGTCATCTCTGGAACCTCCTGTAGAATTAATACTGTTTTCTAGAGCAAATCATGGTCAATTCTGTGGTGTTTAAGACATCGTATTTTTGGAGTCCAGATGTGATTGTGTCTCTGGAAATATTTTCAAAAGTCACAAAAACCCACAGAACAGCTGTTTTTTCAGCTGTAAACTTTAAACCTTGCTTGTAATTAGTTATATCTTCATTTTAAAGCCATCTTTCAAACACTTGTTTGTAACACCATCCAACACTTGCACTGGTGAGGTCATAATCTTAGGGAAAATATTTCTTGAAGTCCTACTTTTTTCTTGTCAGTTTCCAAATGATGTGAGGAAGTATCTCCTATGTTCAGCATTCTTTTATATATCAAGCTAGGGAAAACAGTAATTTGTTGCTAATTGAAGAGATCCTAAGAATCAATATTGAAGAGTTCAGGTCTCCCTTCATTCCCTTTAGAGCAGGCTTTCTAGAACCCTGATCCAGTGATGTTTAAGTATCAGAAGGAGCCCTCCCCTCAGATGAGCTGATTCACTGGGGTCCACGGCCCAGGCTCTAAGCTGGACTTCAGTTGAAACCACTATGTGAGCCTGGGCGTGGTCAGTGGCTCATGCCTGTAATCCCAGGATTTTGGGAGCCGAGACAGGGCGATCACAAGGTCAGCCTGGCGACAGAGCAAGACTCCATCTCAAAAAGAAAAAAAAAAAAAAAAGAAAGGAAATAAAAGGAATTATTATGTGCCAGAAATGTCTCACCCCAGCTCTAGCCTGGCTGGACTGTGCTTCTCTCCAAAAGGGGCTTCCTGTCTTGAGACCTTGGCTTGCTCCTCTTCCTCTTGCTAGATGCTGTTCTCTCTCACTCCCCATGTTTCCATATTTTAACCCACTTGTTCATTGCAGTTTAGCTTCTAAAACGATCCCAAATCCTGGTTAGCCATTTCACACTTTGGATGAGAAGATATGAATAATTCAGCCCAGTCCATCACTATCATAAAAGCAGCTTAAGATCAAGTTCCATCAAGGTGGAGCCAACAACATCTTTCTTTACATTTTCAGAGGAAAGCAAGCATATCTTTAGAATTGTGATGAAATCTGCCAGGTAGGCCTCTGAACATGCTCTTGTGTATTTTCTGTGGCCCATTATGGTAATTTCTTCTCCTCTTTACCTTTTTTTGTAAGTGGGTGATTATACTGCCAGTCCCTGGGTACTATAATTTGCATTGCAATATGAAGCTTCCATTTAATGCTTGCAAATTATGGGCCCAGGGCTGAAGCTCTAATGTGGGAGTTGCTTCCACATAAGTCAGAAGAAGTTTACATATATATGAGTGTGGCTCTGGGAATAAAGAACTTCTTTTCATAATCACAATCTAATATTTAAGAATAAAATCTCAGTTAACAGAAAAATAATAGGAGCAGGCTTACCATAAAAGGCAGAGGAGAACTGAAATGAAGTGCTCTCATAAACGTTTCATAAAATACAACCACACACATATCACACACTTGGGAGCAATGCCATAAAAGTTCTTCACAGGAAGAGGCAATGTTCTTTCCATCGCCCTTCCATTTCAGCAAGGATTTGTTCTGAATTCTGAAGTCCCTACAGGTGAGTACTCACAGGCATTGCGCATTTCAAAGAAAAGAATTTGCTATGGCTGGGCTGGGAAGATGGGGAAAGAGAAATGAGCTCTATCCAGGGAAATCACTGGTGATTGCTATCAGAGGACAAGGATTTTCATATAGATGTGTTCTAGTTCAGATTTTTCTAGAAGACGTAGTTTTTTTGTGATCTCAGATTCAGGGGAAAGCATGGTGTTTTGAAGGAGGACAATTTTCCTAGAGGCAAGAAGACCTGTGTTCAGTTTCATTTCACCTCCTAACTGCCAAGTAACCCCTTAGTAAGACCTTGGCTTTGTTATATTTATTGTGGACATTGAATATGTTGAATAATTGAGAATATCTTGAACATTTAATGTTCTAGTCTGGTTGCTAGTGCTCACTGGTGTGTGAAGACTAGTGTAGCAGGTTCATAGCCTATAGCCTCCAGGGCAGATTCTTCATCTAGTGTGTTATTCCAGCATGGAGCTATATAAAGGAATTAGTGGGACACCAGATCTGAAGCCTGGTAGTTGACTTGTCTCTGATTTGTTGGTCTGGCAAAATGCTTTCTATTCTGTGCAACAATCTTCCATGGAGTTAATTTTCTGTGGAAGATGTACACACAGGGGTGTGTTTGTGTGTGTGTGAGAGAGAGAGAGAACGAGAGAGAGAGAGACAGAGACAGAGACAAAGACACACACACACACACACACACACACAGAGAGAGAGAGAGAGAGAGAGAGAGAGAGCCAGAGCCAGCTATGCTCTGAGAAGTACAAAGTTAAAATACATGGAATTAACAAAACCAAGGACAGAGAGGTGAAATTGAAGATGAGACAGCCCTGAGCCAGATTCTGTTAGAAAAACAGCAACAGAAAAGTACCAGTACTTATAAATAATGCTTTGTTCTCTGCAGTTTAGCTATAGGTCTGTATTTAAATAAGATTTTTTTTAAACTTCCCAGGGTACACTTATGTATAAATAAGATTTATATGGAGTGAAACAATTTCAGGTTTTAGGAAATTCCTTAAGTAAAATTATTTGTTTTATTTAAAAATACTCATATTAGATATGTTAATATTTTCCAGTTTTCAATTAAGGTCTGCTTATTTCAAGAAATATCTAATAAAATAAACTAAGATACAAATTCCAAGGCTGCTACCATGTAACAAAAAGATACAGATGTTCTCTTGAACTTTATTGTTGTAAAATTGGATGCATATGTAATTGTTCATAATTATTCCCATAGTATGAAAAATGTATACTGACAATTTTGAACCTAAATATCTTTTTCTAGTCATTTTACTTATTTGGATGAAGCATCGTAGAATGCAAAGAATAATAGCTTTGGCAACCCTGGGCTCAAATCCTGGCATTGCCTCTTCTTTTATGATCTTGAGTGAGTTCCATAATCTGTCTAAGCTTTGGGTTCCTCTCCTATTAAAAAAAAAAAAAGATACAATTTTCGGAGATGGTTTTGAAAATTAGAGGTGATGTATTTAAGTACACAGCAAATGGCACTTGATAGGAACTCTATGATAGCAGCTATTTGCAATAAACTGAATGTTTGCGTCTCCTCAAAATTTTATGTTGAAACCCTAATCCCAATGTGATAGTATTTAAAGATGGAGTTACTGGAAGGTGATTAGGTCATGAGGGTGGAGCCCTCATGAATGGGATTAGTGCCCCTGTATGAAAAGGCCAAGGAGCTAGCTAGCTTTTTTCTACCATGTGAAGACACAGCAAGAAGTCAACAGTCTGTCACTCAGAAGAGGACCCTCACTAGAACCTGACCATGCTAGCAGCTTGATCTTGGACTTCCAGCCTCCAGAACTGTAAGAAATGTTTCTGTTGTTCATAAACCACCCAGCCTATGGCACTTTCTTACACAGCCTGAGCTAACTAAGACATTACTGTTATTCCATTTCATGAACCTGGCCTGTTGCAACACTCACAGCTACATGTCTCTGTGTAGCATGAGAAACCACTGGTATAAACACAATGTGGACATGAAAACAAGTTCTCTCTTCATTGAGATGGAGGATCATGGAGGAAGCCCTGCTAATATGAACACACATGAAAACTACTCTCTGGCAGTCAGCCCTGATTCTCCATGCTCACAGTGATGGGGATAGAATAGGCTCCTTCATTTCCATCCTAGCCACACCATCATTGTAAACATTTGTGCTCCCATTGGAAGTTCCAACTTTCTGTGCTCTCATTGGAAGGTCTAACGACCACTTCTGAGAAAGACTCTTACCTGAATGAGTTGGGAAACTGAGCCGAGGTGTCTAGGATCGCTTCCGGCAGCATACAGATTTTAAGGAGACCCTAATCTGGAAGAAGTGTTAAGGACAAGTGCAAACACAAAAACCTTGGCAGCTGGAAAGAAGTCCTGTCACTCCAACAGCTTCTCATCATCTTTTAAAAAGTAAAGAAACACACACACACACACACACACACACACACACACACACACACACACACAGAGAAATGAAAATGTCTTAGGATGGTGTGTGCAGACCTAGCCCCTGCCTGCGACATTCCCCATCATTTTCTGCTCACTCTGCTTTGGCGGCCCTGGTCTAGCTTCAGGCCTGCACTCCTGTTCTCTCTGCCTGGAAAGCCCTTCTTTCTCATCTTTCCATGGTTCAGACCCTCGTTACGCACAGGTATCTGCTCGAAGAGAAGGCCTTCCTGGCCCTCTGTGGGTAAAAGATCGCCCGCGCCATCCTTCCCTTCCTCCATCCCGCATTCCTTTCCTCCTTTCCCTATCATTCCTTAACACTACCCTGCTCTCTTATTTTTCTTTTCTTCATTGCACTTAGAATGACTGGACAATTATTTATTCACTTTTTCTTGTTTTCTTATGTCT